TCCCACACCCCAGACCAACCAGACGCTGCGGGGCACCTTCTGGAACACTGAGAGCAGTAATTTCCAGAGTGCGCCCTGCAGCAGTTTCCACTGTAGCTGCTAAAAAATAATAATAATAATAATAATAATAATAACGAGAGTACTCCCTGGTCAAAAGCAGTTTGGGAAAGGCTGTGAAACCAGAAACCAGATTCCCCGGGGCCTTGACTGCAGGACTTGTCAGAGCCCTGGGGTGGTCTAAGGGGGTGCGGGGAGTCGAGAAGCAGCGTTTCCTCAATTCATTGGATGCCAACATCTTTTTTCCACAGGGTACCTCAGGGAACCCAGTTTGGGAAATGCTCATTTTCGTACCTGTCAGGGTACCTCAGGGAACCCAGTTTGGGAAATGCTCATTTTCGTACCTGTCAGGGTACCTCAGGGAACCCAGTTTGGGAAATGCTCATTTTCGTACCTGCCAAGAGGTGAGCAGGTGAGGGGCCCACTTCTGCCGTAGCACTAGCCGCACCCGCCCCGGCCACTTCCACGTCTCCCGGTTAAAATCTTCCAAAACTCCTAGCTGATCGGTTTACGTTTCTACCTCGATGGTGATGCTGGCCCGGTCACGGGGGACCCGCCAATTGTGTTTCCTAATCGACGTGGTTGTAAGGGGGACACATCCCCAGCCCCGCCTCCCCACAGGAGCTGTGCTTGGGATGTAGCCCTTCGGGGCTGCGGAGGCAGATGTTCTAGAACTTGGTGAGATTCCCGGGTGGAGCGGACACCAGTGTCTGTTCGCTGTAGGAGGGGACACGCTGGGATTTGCGGCTGGGGGTGGCCCAGAGGGGACCCCTAGGGGCCAGACAGTCAGGGCCACAGCCCTGGGGGCCTGTTAGACGCTAGGGGTGACACTGCCACAAGCACAGGGACTCTGGGGGGGCCCAGCTGGGTCCCCGGCTTCCTGGGCTAATGAGGGAGCCGCTTCTGGCTCCCCTGGACCTTCTCGGACCCCCAGGACCCCCTCTGCCAGCCCTGAGCATGGCCCCTCCGTCACCCCTGGCTTCTCCGTGGGGACCCCACACCCCGGGGCGTCCCGGTCCTCCTGGCTGCCTGGCTGCTCTTCCTCTGACTTGCCCTCCGTCATCCTGGCTCCATCTCCACCGCTCGGGGCCGCCCTGGTGGGAGACCTGAGGTTCTGGGTGGCGGCGAGGATGTCGGCCTGGAGCTGCTGGGAGGAATCCAGGGCCTCGTCGGGCCGGCCGTCGGGGGCCCTGTCGGGGACCTCGCTGAAGGCCTGGGGGCCCCCGGCCCGGTCCCTCTGGTCCACGTACTTCTTCTTGGGAAAGACGAGGGGTAGTAGGCGGAGGCCTTGTGCTTCTGGCGGGTGATGACGGCGGCGCAGACGGTGAACATGACCAGGAGGACCAGCGAGCCCACCACGGCGATGAGCATCACGTACTCGCGGAAGAAGTCCACGATGCCGTCCAGGAAGTTGGTGGGGGGCTTGGGGCCCGCCAGGGGCGTGGGCTGGGGCCCCACCGACGTGGCGCTGAGGGCCGGGGTCCGGGGCGGCGGGAGGCTCGGGGAGGAGGCCGAGGAGTCATCGGCCTCCCCGCTGCCCCCCATGTCCTCCAGGAAGGACACCTGCACGGGCACGGAGTGGGCCACGGCGGGCAGGACCCTCACGAGGAGCAGCAGCGACACGATGAGGCGGGGGGCCATGGCAGAGACCATGCTGCCCGGGACCTGTGGGCGAGCGAGGCAGAGAGAGGTCAGGGGGGGACTCAGGGTCTTAGGGGACCCCGAGGAGGTGCAGGAAATATGAAGTCACTTCCTTCCTCAGGCCTGAGCCTCTGCGTGGTACAAAGGACCCCCGTTCCTTCCTATGTGGGGTTCACGCCTGCCCCCCCCCCCACTCCACTCTGAGGTCCTGGAGGGCAGGGTCTGAATCTTATTGATCTCAGCATCCTCGGGGTTTGGCCCTGTATCTGGTATACAGCAAGTGCTCCATAAATGTATCTTGACTGACTTGAATTAATGGTAATAATTTAGCCTTTTACTGCTTGCCCTGTGCCAGGAACTTTTTTTTACCTTTTTTGACGTGGAATTTCTCATTGCCTCTTGAGGACCACCCAATGGGGGAGGTGCTATTATTCGCCCATTTTCCAGGTATGGAAACTGAGGCTCAGATGGGGGTTCCATGACGTGCCAAGGAAGAACAGGGGCTTGAAGATGGCAGGGCTGAGTAAGTGAGGAACTGAGGAACTGTCAGCGGACCCCGCTCTTATGGGGAGCCCTCCCCAGCAGCCCCCAGCCCCTCTGGGGTCGCCTTCCCTTCTCGGGAAGAGTCATAGGTTTTGAAGCCTGCACGTGTTCTGAGCTCAGCAGAGGGCCTGCATGCCAGGAGCATGCTGGGAGCATCTGCCCCATGGCCAACTTCCCCTCAAGGCTCAGAGCAGGACCTGGAGGCTGCAGAGTAACCCCCCAACCCCCACCCCCACCCCGTGCCTGAGACAAAGCTGGAGTCCACTGGAGCCTGAGTCCCACCACTAAATGGGGACCAGCTGAGCCCTGCACCTCACTTGCTCCCAACATGAACCCTCAGACCCTATCTGGCCCAGACAGCCGGCTAGCTAATAACTTCCTCATGGCTCTGGTTTACTGACCCTCCCTGCCAACCTGAGTGGGGCTAGGCGCTCAGATAAACCCAGAGACCCCCTTCGGTGGCCCCAGGTCACCCCCCTGAGAACCCCATCCTGACCCAGTGGAGGGCCCAGGACCCTGACACTGGGTGGGGCTAGAGGCTCCAAGATAGAAAAGCCGTAGGATCGCATCTGAGGCTCTCGGGGAACTGAGATGGGGAGACAGAGGCCCAGAGAAGGCGAGGGGCAGCCCCAAAGGCACACAGCAAGTTCCCAGGCTGGAGAAGGAAGTCAGGTTTCCCACACCTTGACCGCAGGTCCCCTTGAGTGCCTGGGCCAGACGCCCCGCTTCATTACACGGGTGATGCGCTGACCTCACGGTGACCGGGGGGACTCGGAGATGAGGTAGGAATGGCGCCGGGCCGTGTAGTGGCTTTTCCAAGGAAGCCGGGCCTCTCAGTGAAAGTGCCATTCATTGAGGCTGACTCTGGACAAAGTGGCTCAGATGGCAAAAACAAAAGATAGTTCCAGGGCAGAGGAAGAGGCAACACTGCCCAGGGCTCATTGTTAGGGGAGCTGGTCAGTGCCTTCCTCACAGGCCCTCCTCGGAGCCGCTCTGTGGGTGCGAGCCTGCGGAAGCCCTGGGGGCCGGCGCTGCCCGTCGTCTGCTTTCAGAGGAGGAAACTGAGGCTCAGAGACAGACAGTGATTTGCCCCAGGACACACAGACAATAGTGTCAGAGCTGGGGTTTGAGCCTTCCTCTGTGTGACCCAAGTGTTCTATCTATCTATCATCTATCTATCTATCTATCTATCATCTATCTATCTATCTATCTATCTATCTATCTATCATCTATCTATCTATCATCTATCTATCTATCTATCTATCATCTATCTATCTATCTATCTATCTATCTATCATCTATCTATCTATCTATCTATCTATCATCTATCTACCTATCTATCATCTATCTATCTATCTATCTATCTATCATCTATCTATCTATCTATCTATCTATCATCTATCTATCTATTATCTATCTATCTATCTATCTATCATCTATCTATCTATCTATCTATCTATCATCTATCTACCTATCTATCATCTAACTATCTATCTATCTATCTATCTATCTATCTATCATCTATCTATCTATCTATCTATCTATCTATCTATCACGCCCTCTGGTTGGCATCACTTGTCAGCTGGGAAAAGGTCTGAGATGCTACATGAACTGCAGGAGCCTTCTCGGCCCCCCTCTCACGGGCACTTGTAGCAAAGGTCCTACTCAGCTTTGATCTCGGGGTCTAAGCCGCAGCAGTCCCCACCCTGCCTCTGCCTGCAGTCAAGCCCCAGGAGAGACCCCTCGTGGTGGCAGCTGAGCTTCTCACCACAGACCTCAGCCATGAGCAGCGGTGGCTGAATCCCAGGGCTTTCCCAGGGGCCGACTGTGGAGTCCCCTCGCTGCAGGTCTGCAGGCGGCAAAGCAGGGAGGCCGGTTAGGCCGGATTAGAATCTGGGCTCCGTCTCGGCTCTTCGGGGCCTCACTCTTCCCATCTGTAAATTGGGGGCATGCTGGGGAGGGGAGCAGCCGAATTGCTACCCCAGCAGAGCTCCAGGGCCAGCCAGCATTTCCCCACAAAAGTCAACAAATGATAATCCTCACCCGAGATGTGCATTTGCTCACTGTCTCCCCCCACCTCCAGGACAGGCCGACTTTTATACCTCGGTGGGTGAAATCTCCTGAAGTCTGATCGCCGAGGAATCTAGGAACACACACACACACACACACACACACACACACATATACATGCATGCACACACATGCACACTCACACGCATACATACATGCACACATGCACAACAGAGAGCTGGAAAGAGAAAAGTGCTCCCTGCCCTGAAGCCTTGGGGTGAGGGGGGCAGAGGACAGAGAAAGAGGCCACACAAACTATCTCTGGCTCTCAAAGGCCGAGAACCCATCTCTCAGAGGCCCCCACACCCCGCCACCCCTCGTGACCCCCCAGGAAATATGCAGGCAAAGTGTGGGAGCTGGCTGGGCCTCTCAGGTGATCGCTGTGTGACCCCACATAACAAGCCCCTGCCCTCTCTGGGCCTCAGCTTCCCATCCGTGGAATGGGTGCACTGGCCCGGGCATTTCTGAAATGGCCGCAGCCCGTCCGTTGCCCTCCCTCCTTCCCGGGTCCGAATTTGTTCCAAGACTCGGGAACTCATTGGCCATTAACAGCTGGGGTCAGGCCAACCGTCTCGTTTTACCCCGAGGGAACTGGGCTGAAACTGGGATCAGCTGCCCAGGGTCTCACAGCCTGTCAGGAGCCCTGAACCGAACCCAGAACGGAGAGGCCTCTCAGAAAACCCCACTGTGTCCCGGTGTCATCTCCGGGCCTCGGTTTCCACGTCTGTAGAGTGGGGATAAGGCCGCCTCCCGGGAACATTGTCAGGATCAGACCGCAGCGCCCAGAGCTCAGTAGGTGTCAGTGAGTGGGTGCCACATGGAGGGGAGGACCCCCGCTTGGAGCAGGGCCTCTCTTTAGAGCCGTCACAGGGTTTATTGTTTTAAAATGTGACGGCCCAGCCGATGCCAAGGATGCAAATCCACCCCTAAGACTTAGGTACCCCAAGACCCGAGGCCGAGGGGCCCCGGCAGCTGCTCCACCCCCACCCAGAGACTGGTAGCCAGAGGGGAAGGGCGGCCCAGGAAAACCTGGCTTCAATTAGTGGCCTTGGGGGAGGGGTCTGGCTGAAGCGCTGTGGCCCCTGCTGGGGCAGCGGAGGGCAGGGACCAGGGCCCTGGAGGGAGGTCTGGGAGGGATGGGGATCCTGAGGGCTCACACCACACACACACACACACACACACACACACACACAGCAGCGGCAGCATGGACACACAATACACGTACAGACACACAACATACGGACTCAACATCAGGCACCCCGAGAGCTCGCCGGGCCCGCCAGCACAGACACACAACACACAACGGGCTGATTCTCCGACAACACGTGCACATCACAACCCCGTCCCCCCATGGATCCCCCCAGACCGGACGGCACAGTCCCAGCCACACCACCACCCGCCGACCCTGGGAGCAACCTCCCGGGCGTCCACTCGCAAGAACAACGCATCCCTACGGCAAGGCCGCAGTGCACACGGGGGCACGCTCGTCCCGCACCCCTGGCCCTCAGCACATCACACACGTACACAGCATCCAGCACACCCTCCAAACTCACACACACTTAGAGACGCCCCCCCAAAGCACTCCCGCCGGCCCCAGTCCCTAAACGCCAAGACATGCCCGGGCTCCCCAGTCAGAGGAGGGGACAGGAGGGGACCCCGACTCACCAGTCCCTCCGCACACAGGCCTGGTCTCCCGCCAGGTGGAGCGAGAGAGAGTCCGTGCCAGTGCCCCGGCTGCTCTGGGCCGGCCGCCCCGCCCTCCTCCCGCCCCCTCCCTCCCTCCCCCCTCCCTGGCTGCGGGGCCAGCTTGATTTCATTAAGGGGTTTAGGGTGGGGACAGGGGGAGGGGTGGGGCTGTGCTGGGCCACACACATCCCCCCTCGCTCACACTCCTGCGGGCGCCCCCTCCACGCTCCGGGGAAGCCCAGATGGGGCACTTCCTCCCTGACCATGGTCCCCAGGGTAGGCTGGGGCACACAGACAGACAGGGCTGTCCCACAGCGCCCCTCCCGCCCCCCCAAAAACCCAGCAAGCTGGGGTCCTACCCTTCCCCAAAGAAGAGGAGGTCAGGCGGTTCGGAGGCCCCTGGACGTGAGGGGGAAATTCCCAGTCCTTGGTTCCAGCTGTGACTCAGGTTTTCCGAGGCTCGGGGTGCAGAGTGGGAGCCGGGGTGTGTGTAAGGCAGAGCATGAGCGAGGCCTGCCGGAGGGTCCGGGCTGGGGCAGGGAGCTCCTTATGGCAGCCACTGTCTGGCCCCTGCCTCCTCCAGGCCTCAGTTTGCCCATTTGCAGGGTGGGTGGGATGCTTTCTGGGCTCCCTCAGCAATGACATTCTAAGGTTAGTGGCCTCGGAGTGGTTAGAGCAGGAGCTGTGGCCCCACTTCACAGATGGGGAAAGTTGAGGCAGAGGAGTCCAAGTGGCTCAGAGGACTGAGAGGTCAGTCGTAGCCCTGGACCCGGGACCTCTGGCTGACCTAAGGAGTCCAATGGGCCAGCGGCCCCTGCATTCATTCATCCATTCATTCATTCAGCAGATGAATGTTCTAGATGTTCTGCGTGAACTCCTGTAGGGCATCGGGCGCTGTCCCCAGCAGGTCTCAGAGGTGAAGCCCAGCCCTCAGGAGCTTGAAGACTTCCAGGGAGAAAGACATTTATGTAAATTACTTTTCAGAAACAGAAATGGGTCTGGGGTAGGAGAGGGGGCAGGCTAGGTGCTCGGGGACCCCGGGGCAAAGATGGTCCCGAGAGACAGAGTCAGGGCAGGGTCCTAGAGGACTTGGCCGTGAACCAGCGGAGTCTCAACAGGAGAGTCCCTGAGAGGCATTCCCGGGGGAAGCACCAGCCTGGATAAAGGCCCGGTGGCTGGAGGAGACGTGGACAAAAGGAAGGAACAGGGCCGTAACCGGTTTGGCTCAGTGGATAGAGCGTCGGCCTGCGGACTGAAGGGTCCTGGGTTCGATTCCAGTCAAGGGCATGTACCTTGGTTGCGGGCACATCTCCAGTGGGGAGTATGCAGGAGGCAGCTGATCGGTGTTTCTCTCTCATCGATGTTTCTAACTCTGTATCTCTCTCCCTTCCTCTCTGTAAAAAATCAATAAAATATATTAAAAAAAAAAAAAAAAAGGAAGGAGCAGGGAATGAGGGCTGGGAAGTCAGCAGGAGCCAGGGGAAGTCCCAGAACATCATCCATCTAGCCAAAGACAGGGTCCGTTCTATGTTCCCCCTTTAGGGGCAGAGCAGCCCCCGAAAGGAGTCCAGGAGCCAGAGGGAGACAGGCCCGGGTTCAGATCCTGCCTCCACCATGCCTTGCCCCCCACAGAGCCTCTGAGGAGGGCGTGAGCCTGCTGGGCAGTACCAGGTGTACCGGTTAATAATGCAGATTTTTTCAATAGATGGAGTGACACATATGTTGATATACATGCGATTTGATATGCATGCTATTTTGTTGTATTGAAAACAAGCTTCAAAACTTCATATGTCAAATTTTCTGATGGTGTTAACATCGTAGATATTTTTACGCTAAAAATGTCGAATTTCGTGCCAAAAAAAGAGCATTTGCGGGAAGTTTTAATTCGTTACTTTATTTTAAAGAAAAGTGCTGCTGAAAGTTATCGTATACTTCGGGCAGCTTCTGGTGAACATGCCTCATCTCAAGATACCTGTGAACGCTGGTTTAAACGCTTTAAAGTGATGATTTCGATGTGAAAGACAAAGAACGTCCAGGTCAACCGAAAAAGTTTGAAGACCAACAATGACAAGCATTATTGGATGAAGGTGCGTGTCAAACTCAAAAACAACTTGCAGAAAGATTAAACGCTGCTCAGCAAACAATTTCCGATCATTTACAAGCAATGGGAAAGATTTTAAAGGAAGGAAAATGGGTGCCACATCAACTGAACGAAAGACAAATGGAAAACCGAAAAGTCATCAGTAAAATGTTGCTTCAACGGCACGAAAGAAAGTCTTTTTTGCGTCGAATTGTGACTGGCGATGAAAAGTGGATTTATTTTGAGAATCCCAAACGCACAAAATCATGGGTTGGTCCAGGTCAACCATCAACATTGACTGCAAGGCCAAATCGCTTTGGAAAGAAGACAATGCTCTGTGTTTGGTGGGATCGGGAAGGTGTGGTGTATGAGCTTCTAAAACCAGGTGAAACCGTTAATACTGATCGCTACCGACAACAAATGATCAATTTGAACCATGCTTTGATCATAAAACAACCAGAATGGGCCAGAAGACACGGCAAAGTAATTTTGCTTCATGATGACGCACCATCACTTCAAAACCAGTTAAAGACACATTAAAAGATCTTGCCTGGGAAGTATGAACCCACCTTCCGTATTCACCAGACCCTGCTCCTTTAGATGACCACGTGTTCTGATCGATGGCACACGTGCTTTCTGAGCAGCACTTCAAAACGTATGAAGAAGTGGAAAACTGGGTCTCTGAATGGTCTGCCTCACGACAAGAAAAGTTCTATTGGGACGGTCTTCACAAATTACCTGAAAGATGGGGAAATGTGTAGCTAGCGATGGACATGACTTTGAATAAAGCACTTTTGATGTTTCTCTTGAAATTATCGTGTTTTCTTTGATTACAAAATCCACATTTTTAACCAGTTAATAGTCAATCCGCATTTTTAAAAAATATATTTTATTGATTTTTTACAGAGAGGGAGGGAGAGGGAGAGAGTTAGAAACATCGATGAGAGAGAAACATGATCAGCTGCCTCCTGCACTCCCTCCTCTGGGCGTGTGCCCGCAACCAAGGTACATGCCCTTGACCGGAATCAAACCTGGGACCCTTGAGTCCGCAGGCCGACGCTCTATCCACTGAGCCAAACTGGTTAGGGCTCAATCCGCATTTTTAACAGGAATCCGCATTTTTAACCGGTTAATGGCTAATCCACACTGGCCAGGCTAGGACCCATGTTTAATCACACCTGCAAATCCCTTTTGCCATGGAAGGTGACATATTCATAGCCACAGCTTCCCGGGAGTAGGATGTGGACGTCTCCCACATGGAGGTTGAATATTGTGACCTATTCCCTGGGTTGCTGGGATCGTCCACCCTAAAGCACTGGGTTCCTCCTCCCAGAGAGCCTGTCACTACGCAGGCTCCGTCACTGCTCGGGGAGAGGTGAAGGGATGAGTGAAGCCCATTTGACAGATGCAGAAACTGAGGCTCACAGCAGCGTGACCTACCGAGATGCAGCAGCATATTGAGGGTCAGAGCCCCGTCTGGCCCAGCCCCTGGGTCTCATGTGGAAATGAAGCTGCCAGGCCAGTGAGCCTCCCCTCCAGGGGCTCACCCCCCACAGCAGTGCCACCTCCCCCGGCCCCGTTCACACACACACCCGCACACACAGACACACATGCCCTCCTTCAGCCAACCCACAAGCCCACCCCGCCATCTGAGGTCAGAACGGCAAAAACGTGAGCCACCGCGGGGAGGAAGAAGGACCCGGGAGTTCCAGCCCCAGCTCACACATCAACTGTGGGTGGTGGACCAGCCCCTGCCCCTCTCTGGGCTGCAGCTAAATGCGGGGTTGGACTGGATGTCTGCCACAAGCCCGCCAGCACTGCTCCCAAACTCTGACTCTCAGTGTCACGCCCTGGGAGTCAGTGACGAGCAAACAAAGGCGTAGAGTTTACAAAGCTGAGGGGAGGCCTCCCGGAAGTAAGTAAACAAACAGGTGACTATCTAACTGCAAACGGGGCGAAGAGTTGGGATGAGAGGCTCAGGGGCTGTGGGAGGCTAATCCTAGTCTGGCCCTGAAGGTCATGGAGTCCTTCCATGAGACAGCAGAGTTGCCCATGAAGATGAGGAGGTATTTAGGAAGGCAAGGATGCAAGAGGATTCCCAGCAGTGAGGGCAGCACGTGCAAAGGTCCTGGGGTAGACGGGAACCCAGCAGCTTCAGAGCCATTTCTGAAGATTAATATCGAGTGAGAGGAGACAGACCAGCTCTGTTCTGTGCACTGCCTTCCCCCCAGCACCCAAGACAGTGCCTGGAGCGCAGTAGGTGCTCAATAAATGCTTGTCGATGTGCGAATACCCACGCTGACCTGCACTCTTGCGTTCCCACCTTTTGACAACTTCATGCCCTGAGAGTTTGCTCTTCGCCCTCCCCGAGGATCTCACATTCCCCAGTTCCAGGAGCGTTTCGGGGCCCAGGCTGGATGATCCCCACAGCCTGCCCTGCTGTGGCGCCAGGGGGGTGGGCGTGGGGGCACAGGCAGGCCTCTGGCATGCAGCCACTCACTGGCAACCTGCAATTTCAGAGGCAGAGAGCAACGGGCCCTCTGCCCAGCCTTGAAGCCATTCGGCGACCTCACCCTGTGCCCACCGTGCAATTAGCAGCCATGACCCCCGCCCTGCTGAACAGCACGGCCCGAGGAGGCAGGGAGGGCCAGGGCAAAACCCACCCTCCTCAAGTCTCTGCCAGGGTCCTCCCCAGCTGGGCCTGGGGCGGGCCGCCCGGCCCACCGCAGCCCCCGCCCCCCCTGTCCCCGTCCTCCTGCTCCAGCTTCTCGTGGGCTCGGAGCCCCTCCTAATTACACAGCTCCTGGCCACTGGGGCCTGCGCGCTGGGAAAAAATAGCCCACGCCTTTCATGTGGCCAGAGAGGCCGGGCTGCGGCCCACAGGCCTGGTCTTCAGAGGGACACCCGTGGAGCGGCCTCCGCTGGGTGCTCCGAGGAGGCGGAGTGGGCTTCATCCACGCAGGCCCGAGTGCGAGGTGTGC